GAGACATAGAGTGTTGAGGTTTTTTTAAATTTGAAATTAAGATGATATAAGAAGTGAGGAGGGTTGATAGAGAAAGTGCAAGTGAAATTTGTACCTTGGAGAATGTGTTTTGGAAGTTTGTTTTTCATTCAAGACACAGTAAGTTTTGGATACTTGATAGTTGTTGTGTTTCTGCATATAATTTGTAAGGCTGTTCCCTGACATGGTAARTGTTACTTAAAAATAAAATGACAGACTATTAGTGCTCATATTGTTACAGAAGTTCTATTCAGCTAAATTAATTACTTCATTCATTAGATGTTAACATATATTTTATCTTGAACCAAAGGAAAAAGAAAGCTAGCCTAAAACTTTTTTTTTCTTCAAATGTACTACTTCTCTTATATTTTGTTGCTGGCCAACTCACTTCTTGCAATGCTGTGCAGTGCCACCCCTTTATTACATTTTTATAAATTATTTTGTGAACATACTCTGCATTTACACATAGTGATCTTTTGAAAGTACTGTTTGGTGTACTGTTCTCGTGTCCACAACTTTTGTAACACCAAATTTCTCGACATTGCAGTGCAAACCATGATAGCAGCCAGGCAAAAGCAAGTTTTGAATGTTAATACAAACAAGTTTTAATTAAGGCAGAACAGAGCTGATAGAGGGTATTTTTTTAATGCATCAGTGTTAGAAAATGATTTACATAGAGAATGAGGAGAGAGGGGGTCTTTGTGACATGGTAATGGGAGCGAGGCAGGTGCTCCCAGTGCTTCATACACCTCATTCACTCCAGAGCAGGGATCATCAGTCCCACTGAAGAAAGCTGCTGACAAAAAGCTTAGAGCTCATTCTCTTGAGCAGTCAAGTCACATTTGAGGTTTGAGGGATGAGATTCCTTCCAGGCAGTTCCACGTGGGCTCCTTTCTCCCATCGCTGGGCCCTTTTGTTTTCAAAGGTCTCCTATTAGTTTCTTAAAATGGGAACAGCTTTTCCTTGATATCTATAATGATTTATTTTTCTAAGCAATTAAATTTGATTTCTTTAAACTATAGCAACTCCCTCGTTAAAAAGAATGAATCACTGAATCAAAAATGTAAAGGCTCTGAGTGTGAAATGCAGGCTCAAGTTTCATGTGATTTCAAGGAAAGACTGTAGGGCTTGAGGGAAATAGGGCAGGAGCAGTGCCTGAAATTGGATTGTCTCCACATGAAACCCATTACAAGAATGGACCATTCCCAACAGCCGTGCTTAGAAAACTTGAGCATCCTTTTCCCAAACAAGCAGGAAGCCTGAGGGGTTTTGCATCACCAGCTTGTAGAACCAGATGCAAATGCAGGTATCCTGTGGCTTGCACACCTGCTGCTAAATATTTAAATGTGTTTGGAGATCACATAAATTTCTCAGTGYTTTGTGAAGAATCTCATGAAGAGTWTTATTGTYTAGAGTGCTYCTGTAATTTGAAAATCAGAGTTTTAATTGGCCTTACGTCTCATTTTTTTCATGTGATTTATTTTTTCAGTTTTGCTGGTACATAACTTTAAAGTGTTCCCAGCCTTTTTTGGTTTTTGTTTTTTGTTTTTTTTTGTTGTTGTTGTTTTTGTTGGGGTTTTTTTGTTTGTTTTGTTTTGTTTTTTAAAATATTTTATAATACCATGAAGCTAATGAATGAGGACTATCATCTAAGACTTTCAAAGTGTTTCAATGTAGTGTTATTACCACATGAAGAAGTCAGGTTAGCAAATTCTGAAATAAAATAAAGAACTCTAAAATGGATGTTTTCGGCTTCTGTATCCATGTTTAGGCTTTTATGTTGGTGATCACAGCTCATAGTAGACACTATAAATCTTAAAATTGACAAAATTATGGAAACAAAACATCAACAGTAGCGGGACTTTTAATAAAATTTACTGTTATTCTAAGTAYGAATGTAGCCTGTTGATGAGAAAATATTTATGTCACTGCAAAATGCAGTYTCACACAAAGGTACATGTATAATCAACATATTTGCATCTTATTTTTCAGACAGAAATTTGCATACTACTTCAAAATACTTCAAATGCTTTTCCATTAATCTTTCGTTTTTAAAAATGGGGAAGATGGCAGTATTTACCCATTATGTCATTTATCATTCCAAAAGCATGGTAATTTTGGGTCATTGTCAGAGGAACTACATGGAAGAAGAGAAGGAGCGGGACAAAAGATACTGGTTCTAGCTGAATTTCGTAACAATTGAAATGCCCCTTTAGTCTAGAGTGATACTTGAATTGTATGAGCTATTTATTAAGTGAAACAAATATTTAATTTTTATTMAACATTTACAAATATTAAATTTAAATTGAATCAACAGAAGAATGAGCTATCAACAGGGAGATTATTCTCCTAGTTACGCAAATTATGGTTGACTGTTGTATTTCTCTTTTTTTCTCACCAGGACTACACTTTGACCATGTACTTTCAACAGTACTGGAGAGATAAGAGGCTGGCTTACGCTGGAATACCTCTCAACCTCACGCTTGATAATCGAGTGGCAGATCAGCTTTGGGTGCCTGACACTTACTTCTTAAATGACAAGAAATCATTTGTGCACGGCGTTACTGTGAAGAATCGGATGATTCGCCTTCACCCGGACGGGACGGTGCTTTACGGYCTCAGGTCGGTGCTTCCATGATGACGATTCCATCACCGTTGTTGTGCATTGTTGATGTTTGCTTCCTGGTGCAAGGTTATTACAAACATTGGTTAGTGGATTATGTAACCTTCCCTGTAACTCTGAGAGATGCCTGTAGAAAACAAATGACACACTCGATGTTTCTTAATTTTGCCAGAAGCGCCTTCAGTCAGGTTTTATCTGTTTCTGTAGAGTCACCATATCTGGAAAGCCCACTGGCTATAGGAAGCAGAAAGGCACGTATTAATTGTAAACCTGAAAATTCTGCCCAAAATGCAGGCGGTAAGATTGAATGTGGTTGCTTATATTGTCTCCTGATGTGTTCATAGTCTATTAAAAAAAAAACATAACAACAGAAGCAGCCCTGGTTGAGTGGAGTCAGCCACAACTAAGATAATGGCTGGGTACTTTCAGTGATTTCTTCAAGCAGGAATCAGTACTGTAATTGTTGTATTTCAAATGAGAGGTACAAAGTGACCTTATATTCTCTTACTTTCCACCTATTTTAGGTTTGACTTATGTTTTCTTTCTTTTCTGTCATAGCTTTTATGGTTGGAAATGCTGAAGTACCCTTCCCTTAATAAGCTTAACAACCCCAACAAAAATCTTAATGGAAGACCCAGTTGTACTAATATATTTCTTTCTTGGAACAGGTCACTCCATTTGTTTCAGCAGGTTAAGCCAGCAAAACAAACTTTTGCCAGTGAAAGGCCCATTTAATCATTGGATGTTTCTTGTATATTTACGCAGAAATAATGCTCAAGATTGGTGCACATAGGTAGTGAAGGATAAAGAGTCTCTAATACAAAAATAATGAGGTCTGATAAGTGGTGCAGATGGATTATATATCCAGTATAATTATTTTATCTACTTCTCTTTTTTATCAACAGTTGACCTTTTTACCTGACTTGGGTCTCAGACCTCACCTCTTTAACTCCTATTACATGTTATGTATGGGGTAGAATTGGATTAATCTTTTTAGATAAAGTAGAAATAGACCCAGCCTATTATGAAATTTCAAAGTTTAGAATGTTGTCTCTGTAATCAGTAGGTTTTGACAAAAGGAGGCTTTTGTTTTGCATGATATTGATCCATTGTAGCACACTACATGTTTAGAATTCTTTTCACGAGTGGTTAAATGTAAAAAAATATTATCTGAGATATATTTGCTTCCTTTATGTCAAGAAATATCTGCACAAGCAACATAATAAAAAAAGTAAAGGAGATTAAAACTCCTGTGATCCTAATAACGTATAGAAGTCTTTCTGTCAGGATAAAAACATTTGGAGCCATTCAGGTGAGTATTATATATATAGTATTTGAATAAGTTGTCTTCCTCTTCTGCAAGATATATGTGTCCACAGGCAGATTGCATTTCACAGACTAGGATTTGCTTAGCAGAGTTTTCACCAATGACCCATGTGTAGCACACTTCTTCCCATTCCTTTTCTCTGAAAACATGGAATATCCAGCGTCAGATATCCATGATGTAAAGCAGCTAAGATACATAGTGAAGAATGACTGTCTTAAATTAAATCTTGGCAAAATATAGGACATTGTGATCAAAAGGAAGAAAATTTCTAAACATTAACTCCACTGATTTAAAGACTTGTGYTTTGTGTTGTTCCATCACTACCCTTCTTCCTTTTTTTATGACATTGGGCTCAAGCTGCAGTCCAGAGGCAATGTGGGTTGAGGCCAGAATTTGGAGTTTTATGTGCCATGAAGCACAGGGTCCCTTGGAATAATAGGTGGCATTTTGGAGGGTTGCAACCAATTACAGAACATCCACAGAGCAAAGCAGTTCCTCAACACATGTATAATTGAAAGTGATCCCAAGGCCATGCCAGACCTGTGTTTTCTTCTGAACAATGCAGGATTTATCATAGTTTGAAAGACTTGACCTTCAGTCATCCAAAGTTCCTTTCTATTTTAGAGAAAGCATTTTGCTACTGCAGCAGAAGTCTATGATGATGGGGGAATGGAGCAGTAGCTTTCTGAAGTTCAGCCCCTTTCTTGGGATTGTTTTTTTTTTTGGACGACACACTGAGTTTCTTCTACCTTCTTCAGAACAATCTACAAGACAAATTAAGATAAACCAGCTCCTTTTTCATAAGAGATTAAAAATTAAATAACTACTTTATAGTCTTGAGATTGAAAATAGAATCCTCTAGCTTGTGTTTCTAATGCATAAACTTGTTTTAAGGCAGTGCAATGTTAAATGTTATAAGTAAATTGAGTGAAGGAATTATATGTATTTTGTCTAAAAGGACTAACATAATTATTACCCCTGTATGAAACAGGATGGATGTTTGCAGGGTGAAAAGGTTGGTTGTGATCAGTCAAACAATGCAWCCATGCTTACTTCTGGTTTTTTTTTTTGGATGTTGTTTTTTTTTCTATTTCTCTATCAAGAAATTAAGGTGTCAGGACTGTGACCTAATCACATATGAAGTATCTGTATTGCCTAGACTGATTCATACTGCAAACTTTTCGGAGATTAAAATACCCTTCTGTCAGTTATGTGTGCAGCACCTCGCAGTGCATCACAGGTGGGGTTCCTGTGCAACAAAGCAGTGTAATAAAAGGCAATGCACCCAGAAATACAGTACCAGGGAAGGATAAGAGAATCTATATCCAGAGGAAATAAAACCATAGTAGGAAATTATAAACAATTGAAAACATTTGCTTTGTGTTTTGCTTTCGCACAAATTAATGTGTGTGTCTGTGTCCCACTTCATCTTTGTCTGTTTCATAATAATTTCTGTGTCACTGCCATGATGATGAGTTCTTGAAACCTTGTTGTCTTATGTCAGGCACCATCCCATCCCCTAAAAAGCAAATCTGCTCTTCTTGGGAGCATGCACAAGCCTGAGCAATTCACATTTGCTTTTGATGTGCATTTGTGCAAGTTAAATTTGGTGATTGATTATTCATTCAGAAGGGATGTCTGAGTACTCAACTTACTTTGAGAAAATGAAGTAAACCTGTTTCTGTCTATTTCTAGCTGTGTCTCTTTTTCTAGTGGACATTTATTAAATTAAAAACATATCTTTTTCTGCAGTGTAAAAAAGTTCCTTGAGCAAGAATGTGCAGTTTCTGGTACTGGAACTTGTGACACAAAACCAGTATGTGAGCAGACTTAAATAAAAATACATCCCTTAAAAAGTCATAACACAAKTATTAAGTTGAATGTAAGTTTTCCAGCTGTATAATTTTTTTAGTATTCTGTAAAATTAATCACTTGTGTTCTGTATGGCTGGCATTTAAAGCTAGTTATATAACATAATAATTCAGAGTCTGGTAGCGTATTCCCTTTTGTATCAACTTAGCTCCCGTGGATTCTGCTGCAGGATCCCAAATGAGACCTAGGTCAGTGTAGGCGAATCTACTAAAGCATGGGAGAGAACTTTCATATCAACAATTTCCAAACATGCCTACTTGTTTTACTTTGAGCACAGTTACTACTTGACTCAGGAGCAAGATCCTTTCATAGCACCATCAGTATGGCTTTGTAAAGGTGTTCACTGCTTGTTGATCAATAATCACAGATTTAAGAATAAGTTTTTCCTTAAGACCATATGCTAATCCTAGTTTTGTATGTGTTGTTAGAGCTGCTCTTAGTCATCATATTGAGGAGGCATTCAAAGATTCACTGAAAGCTTTGGGTTGGAAAGGACCTTAAAAATAATCTGATTTCAACCCTCATGCCACAGGCAGGGAYACCTTTGATTATATCAGATTGCCCAAAGCCCTGTCCAGACTGGCCTTCAACATTTCCAGGGATGGGGCATCCACAACTTCCCAAGACAACATGTTCCAGTGCCTTACCACTCTCAAAGTCAAAAAATTCTTCCCAACATCTGATCTAAATGTACCATCTTTCAGTTTAAAGCCATTCCTCTTTGTCCTATTGCTACACACCCTTCTAAAATGTCCTTCTCCAGC